TAAAGATTAGTATAATTTGGGGGGTCTTAGTGATTGAGGTTGGTTTTGCAACTCAGGTCAACGCCACATACCACCACACGCCACCTACAGCGCTGCGTCACCACCGGCAGCAACTCGACCGCCTCTTTCCAGCCCATCTCGAGTATGACTCCGGAGGAGTCATCTCAGTTCTCGGACATAAAGAAGTTCAAAGATAAAATGTCTGATTTTCAGGTGGATTACCCTCATCTTATATAAGTCCGAGGCCAGGTATTTTCCTGTGTTTTGATTGGTTGGCGCGTAAATCCAAAGCCAGCGAATTTATTTTGTTCATGAAATTCTGTTCACAGATAATGGGCACCCAGGCAGAAATTCAAGAACGACATGACGCCGTTCGACATTTGGAGAATAAGCTTCTAGATTTGCAACAGGTAAATCTTTTTTTTCTTAGCTGATGAATTTGAGTGTAATTTTCGAATGTTGGCTTTATATATTTTTGAACTTTGTTAAATTCCGAAAAAGAATTTGATCATCTTTTTTTTTTTCTCGGTAGATATTCCTTGACATGGCTGTACTGGTGGATGCGCATGAAAACATGCTAGATAACATCGAGCCACAAATTATAACTTTTCATCTCACATCCTATTCTACGAACACCATCTCGACAATTAATTTATATTTTTTTTAGTTTTGCCAGTTTCGTCTGCCATGGACCATGTGTAGTGGGGCAACCCGGTTCTTCACAAGGCAAAAAGTCTGCAGAAAAACTTGAGAAAGTGGATGTGTATAGAAATCATCATCCTTCTCATTAATTATAGTGGGTGGTTGGTGTGCTCAAGCCATGGCAGAACAAGAACAGGTCTTAGCTTTCTACCCGAGCGTGTTATGTATAAGAATTAAAAAAAGAACCAAAGAGCAAATGGAATCGTTTCATATAATTGACTATAGGAAAGGACTCTTCTTTTTTATTTGTTCTTTTGCGATTTGAGTTTGTATCCCGTGTGTGTGCATTCTTTGCCTTTGGTATTAATCGGTGGGTGCATGTGAACTGTGCTAATTTGCTTCGGATGTTGGGTATCTCGGCTGATTACATTTTCTTATGATAGATCTGAATTATAAATTATTTACTCTCATGTTGTTACACAAAAAGAACATGTTCACGCCTATGAATTATACTATGTAAATGATTGCGTGGCTTGTTTAATTACACCATTTCCTTTTCTTTCTTCCATTAAGTGTTTGTACACCAATTGAGCTTGCTGTCCAGTATATAAAGAGCTTGAGGATGGATGCTTGATCATTTACTATTGTATCGAGAAGATTAAGAATTTCAAAACTCAACTTTAGATATATTTTAATCTTAATTTTAATTTTCAATTGGTTTTTATATCTTTTGTTGCACATATTAATTTACTAAAAATGAGGATTTATATAGCACATAAAATTTTTAATTTATTATTGACTAAATAGGAGACGACTGTGCGTGCACAGCCGTAATTCCACTAGTGGTAT